TTCCCCCGAGGGGGCAAGGTTAGGTTACAATACAGACGCTTTTCGACAAAAAACACGTTCGGTGTAATGAAAGAAACATCTGTTCTTGATGAGCTTAACAATATCTTAGTAGAGTTGGAGAAACATCTTACTCCCATCCTAACTGAGAAAACAATCGAGCTTAACAAAAAAGCGACTCCTCTCGAAAATAACAACTCTGCACAAGAGATACACAATCTTGAGGAATCCATTAAAATCAACGCTGTTAAAGCGTATGTAAGATTGGCAACTTATCTTTTAGCTATAGAAACCTCCCAAATTTTTAAAACTACGTTCAAAACAAAAATATCAATAGAACTTGACGACATAAACATTCCATTTAATGAACAAGAAATTCTAGGAAAAATAAAAAACCTAGGACTGACAGACTCCCAATCTCACAAACTAGTGAATCTGGTGATTAAAGTAAGACTAGAACTAAACAGACTCTCTACTCAAGAAATTAAATCGCTAAATTACACCAAATTCAATAGAAACCTTACACGACCCGTTTTCCCGGTCTCGAGAGAACTATTCTCAGAAAGATACTTATGAGAGGGGATTCTGACAAAAGCAGAATCATACATGAAATCGATCATATTCCATTTCTGAACAGCAGAATGTATGGCTAAAACTAATGGTAGTGATACCCCAGGCATAGATGGAATAGCATTTTGGTCTACTCCTCCAATCTCGGCAACGAAAACGAAGGATCAAGCTCTAAGGTACCTAAAAAGAGAACTAGAAGTTATGCACCAATATATTTCTATCGCCAAAGGTAAAACTGACCAAGCAATCCGTCGAAAAGGGGCTAAAAACCTTAATGATCGAGAACTCTTACGAAGAGAACTAAAAGCACCATGAAACAGGAATGGAAGATTAGCTCTACAAGTGGAATATGATAAAATAATCCAAAACCCCTTACAGACAGTTAGAGACAGGAGAGCCAAGGGCCTAGCTCATAACGATCTATTGAAAAAAGAAATCATAAAGTCTCTGAAACATAATAGAATTGATAGATACAAACCCGACAGCTTACTTAGAGTTTATATTCCCAAACCTAACGGGAAGCTTAGACCTTTAGGTATCCCGACTATTAGAGACAGAGCAATTCAAATGCTATTAAAACTAGTTATGGAACCATATATGGAAGTTCTAGGCGACCCTTACTCGTTTGGATTCAGACCCGCGAGAAATT